CATGTCTAATTGAGAGTGTTGGCAATCCACCAAATCAAAATTATCAACAAGTGACCAACTTAGTTTATGGCAATGATGGCTATGTTAGTCTATGTTACTTTTTTTTATCCACACATGAGATGTGTTACAAAGTGTTAGGCCCCTGCCAAACCATTAAATAAATATGCTCCAAATGAAAATAAATAAACATAAAATTTCAAATTAAAATAATATTTGGTAATGTATTATTATAGCCTATAAATGCAGGTTAGGTTAGGTGATATTTCTTGACCTAACAATTAATTGCGCTACTTTATAATTAAGTACTTTCATTACATAAAGAAAAAGAAACTAAATATATAGTTCCTTTTTTCATTTACTATTTTAATTTTATTTAAGGTGGCTAGCAAAATCATGTTTAAAAGTGGACCACATTAATTTAGCCTAACCCCCCAACTTAGATTTTACTTAGTGGTAAAAAAAATAAAAAAAAAAGTTAGGAATGAGTTGATGTTGTGACGTCACTTCCCAGTAATGTATCGTCATGAAATGACGTCATATTTATCTATGCACTTGTCATGTGTGGTGATATGGGATTAGATTAGGGTGCAACTGACGATATGGAATTATTAAACGAAACATGTTGTTTGTGAGTTCGACTTGTTTCGATTCGTTTGATGACAAGTTCAAATTTTGAAACGCACAACTCGTTTATAACCTAATTTTCCATGCTTAAAATTCTAATTATAATATTTTAAAATTCAATTTTTACTATTTCTCTTTTTTTTTTCTTTTAACTAAAGAGATAAAATTGTGTTGCTCTCATTCTCTTACATCTAAGCTAAGGGTATTTGGTTGTTAAAGAAATTGTGAGAGATCATTTTTTCAACTTAATATCTAATGCTAGAGTATTTAATAATTGCAATAAAGACATAAATAAAAATTAATAATAATAACGCATGTGTATTTTCAAAATTTAAAATTATGAGGGTACCTTTTTTCATGTATGATTGTTGAAAAAGTAGTGGGCCGCATGGGCTTGGACCAATGTAGAGGCAGGGCCCCCACTTCTGTAATTTTCGACTTTTACACGTATTATGAGGCGTGCTCTGCTACAATTCCAGTCTATATCAGCCCATTTTCATTGGTGGGACCCACTCAAATAAATAAAAAATACATTTTGAGCAATATTATTATTAATTTGAAAGATTTTCGTGCAAATATTATTTATTTTGGTTTTAATAAAGAAACACAAGTGGCTGCATAAAATTTGATCCATCCTCAATAAGTTTTGTAAAATAGTTCAAAACAACCATATCGGGCACCAAAGTTGATTGACTTTGATGAAATATATAATTTAATTATTATTATAAAGGCAAACACACATATTTATTTATATGTACAATATATAGATGTAATATTGTAACTCGTTATATGATTAATATGATTTATTATACACAAAATGTTTATTTTTAATCTTATATATGCGATAAAGATGTCAAATTAAAACTTGTTGTGAGATAATCAATCTGATATATCATATAAGAAAATCTAATAAAAAATATAAAAGTTGTTAATTTTTAAAATATATTTGTAGAAGTTCAAACCAGGATTACAAAGACAATGGTGCTTGTAATCTATATGTCAATTTTCGACAATCTGATCAGATATTATATACATTAGAATTCTTAAATTTTTAATAATATTAAATAGTTGACTTATCATATCACATCTCACGATATATTTTTATAATAAATTCAAAATTTCTTAAAATTTCAATAAAACTGTTAGTTCATAATTAATAAAATATTTGTACATACGTGGAGTTTTACAATAAACACAATAACAATGTTCGAAAAAATGTACAGAACTGACAAATTATACATACAGAAGGAATTTCAAACCTTATCGATGAAAATTACAATGTTGTTCGGTCTACACGAACTAGACACCACATGCCTGCATAAAACGAGTCCTCCTATTAACCATCGACTAACCATTAAACTAGGGAGAGTTTTTATTTCTAATCCGAAGATCGACAATTTCATATTACAGTCTTATTCTGCTAACGATGCCAGAAAAAAATAAGTCGTCATCATAACGCAAAATATATGGAGTTGGACTTTATACAAACGCTCGATCGTGGGCAAATTCTTCAAAATCAATTGTTCACAGCATGTGGACTCCTATCAGTGACCTCAGTTAAAGACCGTCGTCTAATCCAAGGAAAACGCACCATTACAGTACCTGCGGATATTTACGGTTGTGAAAGACTTGACAAAATTTTGCTCAATTTCACATAATTTAAAATGCAATATCGCAAACTTTCCATGTTTCGAAAAAATCAAATTAGTTACAGCAGGTGACTAAAAATTAAGATAAAAATAATAACAATAATAATAATGATATTATCCAATGATGATTTTACCTGTCACTGAACTTCTCGAGGGCATCAGAGGCGTAGAGAAGGGTTTCACTAGCTTTCTCCAGAACCATAAAAAGTTCCTTTCCTCGCGTGAGCCGAGCAATAACCCAGGCATTGTTTTTGGCCCTCATGCAAATTTGAAGATCTTTCTCACGGTCCGAATTATCCCATTTGGCTCTATCCTTTTCCAAGTCAACCTCTTCCCGAAGTTTAGTCAGCGCAATCAACGAGTCCTAAATACGTACACACAAGAAATTTACAACAACTGCACAATCACAACTGGGCAACAAAAGTTGCTTTTTACCGAAAGTTACGAAATTAAATAGGTTATTTTACCTTTGCCAAAGTTGTTACTTTCCCTGGTGGTGAAGCCCTTGATATATGTCGATCACCATCAACCAACAAATAACGATACCCACTCACGTGATATGCATTCTCACCACCCCACCCTCTCGATAGCTTCTCTTCAACTTTGAACATCTTCAATGAAGCCTATTAACACAAGAAAATTGCAAATTATTAAAAGCCCGGTTAGCGAAACAAAAAAAGGCATAGCACTAAAAGCAGTAAACGGTTAATATATTATTATTATTACCGTTCCAAGCCACACGCGTGCATGAGCACAAACAGACAATTAATTATTAGAAAAAATTGCATACATAAGTTGTATATATATATATATATATATATATATATATATCATAATTTTGGTTAATTATTTTCTTAAAAAATTGCGTGAGCACAAACAGACAATTATTAAAAAACAAGACTCACGCTTTCAAGGATTTGTTGCTTCACCAAAGCAAGTCCTTGCTCCCCATTGACTGACGAGACTGGAATAAGTAGTATCACGGTTAGGCCCTTATGCTGATAACCTAATAGATACATCTTTTCCTCTGTTTGGTGAAGCCAAATAGTTGGGTTTGTAGGTATCAAGTTATTAACATCAGCACCCCAAATGTCTGTGACGAGAAAGCCGTCCTTCCCTTTGGACCACTTGGAATGCTGCAAAGGCCTAACAAATGGATAACTGTGGTTTCTAAGTGGAGATGTATCATGAGAATTGGGATATTGATCCACAACGGGTCCCGAATTAGCTAGTACAGCCCCAGCAAAAGTATTACATGCTGTGCTTCCTTTGCGTGAATTGGTCCATGAACTTACTCCAGAGGATAGAGCAAGTGGCGTTAACCTTAGGACAGCGCAGGTAAATAGATTGACAGTGTCAATCTGAAAAGTCAAAAAAAAAAAGTCAAAAAAAAAATATAGGATATAACAATGTATGACCAGAAGAAGTTAGAATAACTACATAAATATAATAGAACGCATGAGGCTTTTAGCCCTAGTAATGTAAAAAGATCAAACCATACAGCAGAGAGGCTAGTTGAGACCAGCAAGTCCTGGAACATGGTCAGCGAGTGGCAATTTGCATTACCCGCACATGATTCCAACACTCTAACGAGAGACTGAAAGACACAAAACGAAACATGACAATTGTATACAAACTTGTATTAGCTACTAACATAATGCTGAAAAGATTTACCTAATTTGAAAATAAAATTATCATTAAGGCTAAACTAGTGTGCAGAAGATGAAATATAACCAAGGTATATCTTTCTGGTAAGAAATTGCATTAAGCTGAAATACTTTCAACACGGGCCCTAATTACCCACTAAGACAGCTGTTGCTTACATGCTAAGAGTCAGGAAAAGAGCACTTGCTTTCACTACGTCATTCTTAAGTCAGAGAGAAAAGTAATCAAATATATCCAATTCGAAAAAAATATATATATATATTACCAAGAGACTAACCTGCACCTCAAGAGCAGCCTCCCGCCCCACAGTTAACATCTGCACTGTTCCACGTTCTTTTAAAGAGTCACGAAAGTTTGGCAGCTGAAGTCTCTTCCCAACTGAAAAATCTGGCCCAAAGAGAAAAGGCAAGGCGTGAATATGGATACTTCGTGATTTGCCCCAAGTGCACAAATGAAATTTGGGAAATGGGAATCATTTCGAGACCGCAATTGCAGCATTTACCCCAGCAGCAATATCCCGATGGTGATGGCTTTTCAAATGCTGACAATTAGTAACTTAAGTTGAAACAAATGAAGATCACAAAAGGAAACCCAAAAAAATTCTAGGCGTATTCATGTACATGGAACTCTGGAAGCATGTAAAGACTGACTCACCGCTCAGAAAATCCATGATGAAATAATACAGATGCGTTCTGACAAGTCCTCCGGTAGGTTCTCTATCGACCAGGGTTCGAATGGGACCATGAAACATCACAAAAAGGGAATGAGCTTCTTTAAGAATCCTCCGTAGAGCATCAACTCGCCAGATGGCTTCAGATTCCTTGTCTTTTTCTACTACCTAATCAAGGATGAGAACATTATAGTAGTAATATATTAAAAATCTGCTAAATAGAACAGGCATCATCAGTACAGATTATATGTTAATCAATCAAGCAAAGCTAACATGAAATCGAACGAATTATATATATATAATGTATACACGTGTCTTATAAAAAATACTTAAGTGCCTTATAAAAAATACATGAGTGCCTTCCTATTTGTAATACGCACATCCTAATTTGAGACTCCAAAATGTATTTTTTGCAGTCACTAAAGTCATACATAGTCTCTGAAGCTACCACGATTTATTCCATAAACAAAGTTAGGACGTCAAACACTTCAAAAGTAACACAAGAGATCAAAACATCACAATAAGCAATTCGAATAACTCATTCAATCAAACAAGGAAAACAGAAATATACCATTCACTGGTTAATCAGCACATCAACGACATTCACAAAAACTCAATTATGTTGATTTATTAAGAATCACAGTTCACAAATAAAATATTAAGGGTAACAGCATGAAACAGGGAAAAAAAAAAGAACAAAGAGCTTCCTAGGAGAAAATAGCCCCACCATAACCATCCATATATCTGGCTCTGCCTCATAGAAAACATGAGAATGCATCTCTGCTTCAATGACCTCACATGGAGCGTCGGGAGAGAATATTCTGCAGGAAACCAAATGTTGAACCATAAGCGTACAACTCATGTCATAATTACTTGCCCCATTCCAAACTAAAATGAACCATGTAAAAGTGTGTCAGCGGGACAATATCTTGAGACTAATAAACAAAAGACACGTATAGTAGAATTTCTCCATAATGTAACAATAGAGTTCTTTGTGGTTGTGTTGCAGGTATAAAAATTGTAAGTGAAATGAACCATCTTGGTTCTATTATTCATAATTTAAACACAAATAACCAGATACACCACATACTCACAAGAACAAAGAAAACAATAAAATGACAAAAAAAAAAAAAACAAGTGCCACACTTATATGAGGCCTATAAAGAACAGTAGCTAATAGTCAATGCCGGATTTCAACTAAATTGAACATGAGATAATGCTCTTGAGGTTTCTTTGATAAACTAGACATTTCCATTATGGCATTATCAAAAACATCATGGACTATAACAAATTTACAATGAAAATATGCGGATCAACATCCCATCGTTAGAAAAAAACAACTCTTTGAAGACAATATCCCTACTGATCACTTGAGAACACGTGCAAGCAAGGAACAAAGAAGTTCGAAGTCTCCAACATTTTCCAAAGGTCACATTTTGTACAATAAAAAGAGATGGTTCAGAAAAGATGAAAGAAATACGGAATCAAAGATGAGCCTTCGCGAATGGATCGGTGATTATATTACCAGATTCCCACATCAAAAAACTCTAATAGCAGCTAAATGATGAGTACTTCTGAGTTCTGATTATTCTATACAAATTCATGTGCAGCCAACCTGGTAAATGTGATGAGTCCTTCACTGAGACCGATAACTGAGAGCTGTGTCGAAATTGGCAAATCAGCGGGATAGAAGAAAAGAATCTTGTCCAACTCCTGCCCTTCAGTTTGTCCCCTTCTCAAATCAAACACACATAATTTCATTGCTTCACCTGTATCGTTCAGGGAAGTCAACCCCATTTCAAGTTTCCCCAAAAATATTCACCTGGCAATGCAGATACATATTAGCTCACGTGCAAAAGGTAGCATATAGTACAAAATCACAAATCTGCGTCCAAAATGATGGTACCCATTAAAACCACTTAAACAAAGCTCCTCTTTTTATTCAGTTTATGCCATCTGATCTAAATGTAGAATAAATGCCATAGAAACAATAAATAGCGTATGACCAACTGTTTCTGCATTATAACCAGAAAATGTTTCAATCTTTATCAATATAAATGGCGGCAGCGTGTGACATAAAAAACATGTATTGATACTAGAAATTTTATTCACTTGCTATGGGGTGCGAAACAACAATTATTAAGTAACATAACACTCGATGGTAAACGTGAGTAGTTCTCTTAGATCGACCAAATAGATTATAATGAGTATCATCCAATATTGATGGAAATTAACCTAAATCTAAATTTACCTAATAATTTTCGTGTGGAAGAAAGAACATTTCGACTAATCGGGGAAAAAAAAGTAATTAGATCGACAAAAACTAGGTCAGTACGACGAAATTCACCTTTCG